TTGCCCACCGCACCAGTACCGTTTTATCGAGCGTACTTGTGACCCTACCTCTGTACCGTTTGAATTCTTAGCGTTCTGTCTACTTTGCCTTGCAGGTTCCTTTTTAACTCAACACGAAGAAGAAATTGTCTGCTGGTGTTTACACAAACTCAACCTGTTCATCCCTTTAATCGTGTAGCCGTCTCAAAGCCCCCAATCGTCTCCATATTTAGAGACACGAGCCGGGCACATCTGTCAATTCCTCTGCGCCGGGAGATTACGGTGTACGCTCGCATTCCAATAGGCCTTAGTTTCCACTGAAATTTATATATTTTTTATCTGTAAATGGAGGTTAAATCCTTTTAGAATCGGTTTAAACAATACTTGTGTTCAAAACATTTGTCGGAACTGTATAACGCAAGGTAGTTGTATTGTTTACTGTGCGTTTTTAGTAGGGCAAAAGTCTTTTATAACTTATTCCGTGGTAAGTCCTTAAAGTTATATTTTTTATTTGCTTATGAAAACACTACTAACTAATAACTCAACTGTAAAATTCAATTCATGAAAATGAAGATGGTCATTTAAACAAATCAGTCCATTTGTAGTCTTATGTCGTGAACAGATTTAGCAAGATCTCAATGGGACTTCCATGTGAATTTGTTCAACTACTTGATAACTTAATGAAAGCATACCGTTTGCATTTAGACTCGATTATCCGAGTAGTCTGGCTTGAAATAAATACAGGTCAACACGTGATGTGCAAAACTGATCGAGCATGCACTAACTGAATTTAGAATTTATTTAGCAGCAATTGATGGGAATTTTCCTAGAGTACCCACGCTTTTATATTCCGTTTTTATTAATAATTGAAGGCAAAGGTTTGTATTAGAAAGGTGCTACTGATTTCAGGGTTCTTTACTCTGATTTGAGAAGCACCACTTTCAAAATTTCCTGTCATTGGTGCTCATTGGTCTAGGTCTTAATCCCCGAGCCGATCACACGGAAGATGGATGGATTAAAATGCCAGGTCATACTTGCAAACCAGTTCTTCCAAAATATAACTCACTCAAAATTGAAATCTGTCATTGTACATAGCGTCGACTTAATACAAAATCCCAAAGTAGGCTGAAATATTACTTGTAGTATAGACAATTTTGTCATCGAAAGCACCAGTAAAACTACAGAGCGAGAGAGAGCAAATATATATTTAATACATGACGATCATTCCCTGCTACGAATTCGTTATCTCGTTTTGTTCGATGCTTTCAACTAGTCCACTAGGTGTTTTCTAATTGATTCCATTAACAGACTGCTGTCCTTGAAATATATGAATTATTTCTTTTTATAAGCGCTTCGTTGTACTAACGACCGTTCAAATCATCGCTCGTAACTGATCAATCATTCATCTACTTTTTGGTAGTCAGGTAGATAATCAGATATAATCAAACATGGTAGGAATGTGAGTTGCGGCATCAATATAGTTTACCCTCTCGATACTCACAACCGACAACTATCCTCGCGTTTCACAAGGCCATCCCTATATCCTATCCAAATAGATAGATTTTTATCCGTTCAATGAATCAGATATGTAAATGACACAAATTTCTAACTTTTGCGATTTCACGATTATTTCTCAAATTATGCCTTATTCTACGGTATCAGTTTAGTGCCTAACTGAATACCTAGTGACAGTTTATTCAAAATAAAATGACAAATCCAGTATGATTTCTCAAAAGTTGACCAGTTCATATTTTGTGAATGCAATCACTTGTTTATTGTTCCTGTCGTTTTCTGAAGCCTAAAGGAAATCTTCCATGACTGGAAGCACTAAATTGACCCATTGTAAATTTGATTATGAAGCATTTTGAAAACCCTGCTCTGACTGTATATGTTTTGGTCCTTGCCGTGTACAAATGCCCACAGAGGTCGGATGTTTAAAATTCGGCACCAGATCAAACAACATGCAAAGCTCGTTTTCAGTTATTCGTAATCATGTCATTACATCACACTAAATATGACTAACAACAAAAACGAAACAGGGAATAAGAGATTTGAGCCCTAATGATTCAGCTCCGGCTCCAATCATGCGTGCGTGTGTTTGTGTGAAATTGACCACATCGTCAAAAGTTCAAGTGATTGCACACATGTTTGAGTGGATGAAGTGGACCAGGGGAGATTAAGTGCTTTCACAAATTTCTTCTGGGCGCACAAGGGGGGTGTGTGAATTCGAAAACTTACGGCTTCGGCTTTTGACACTATGATCAATTTCACACAAACACGCACGCATGATTGGAGCCTGAGCCGAATCATTAGGGCTCACATCTCTTATTCTCTGTTTCGTTTTTATTGTTAGTCATATTTAGTGTGACGTAATGATATGATTACGAATAACTGAAAATGAGCTTGTTCGCCACGTTGTTGTTCTCAATATGTGAAGCATTTTGCACAGGAACTGCCTCAAACTCTTTGAAACTCGATGAGGAACAACAAATAATACAAGATTTTGATGATTGGCGCATCTTTCTCTGAGATTTAAGATTCCGTTTAACACATTCAATCTGACCTTCAGATTGAAAGAACGCAACAAAGACGACTAAGCGCATTTGGTGTGTATGGGAGCTGAAAAGTCACGTCATAAATTTGGGAAATAATTTCGGCATTCCATAAAACCATGATTATTCACTGTTCATGGTTTTGGCTTTTTGTTTTTGATAGATTATTGCATGTGAACTTCAAATCTTATTTGCTCGTCGCGCACACGCCGTATAAGTTGCGCATAGTATGCATCAGTTAATTTTTAGGGTGAAATACAAGTAGAACAAGTTTGATGTACATCGTACTTCCAAAATATACCACTACTGCAGTTGCTTAAGTCTGTATGTTTGCGTGTGGGTAATAAATATGAGAATTCGTGCCCCTTTGTCCTTTTCTTTTATCTTTAAACTGAGAAACATAGCTCAAAGTCGCGTGACGAACCAGCAACGGTCACTTGGATTACATTCTAATGTTTTCTGTCGCAGCAAACTGTATTCAGACAGAAAGGATCAGTTGGTAACACCAAAGCTCAAGGAAACGGAAAAACAATTTGCCAGACATTCCGTTGAGTGGGTTTATTGTCCCAGTAACTCCTACGCAATGTCCAATCGAGGAGGTAGTTCTGAACGTTACAGGTAGCGGAAAATATCGATGGATATACTGCATACCGCGCAGATTGAGTCAACGTCTTTTCGGGCATTGTATGCCTGAATTTGATTCGCCCGTAAATTGCAGCAGCCTAAGATTACTGTAGCTGCATTCGGTTTACCTGGACTCGTAACACAGAACATGGTTCTTACTAAAACTGTGTGCCAGAGTGTTATCTTTAAATAGATCGCATATACGTCAACGTACCAATCAATACGAGGAAAACATTCAGATATTTGAAAGAACATTGCTATTCAGAATATCAGGAACAAATTCACGACGAATGCTGTTGATATAATTCTAAGTTTTGCGTGAAAAACTGATCCAACATTAGTTCTTTAATTTGAACAAACAAAGTAAAACATGGTTTTCTTCATTAATTGTAACAGTGTTTTAAAAGCCACCTGTAAACATTATTGATTTTACATACGCACAATCAGCCTTCAAAAGGGTGCGTCAATATCTTGAAAGTAATTCTCTTGAAAAATGAATAATTTTCAGTACCTGATATGAAGTGGTTAATTATCGAAGGAACGGCAGGGAAATCGTTTTCCAGGTTATTTTTTTGTCTTCCCAGATATCCATCTACAAATATCTACAAATAGCTTGTAACCGCTCTATTCGAACATAGCACCGAATCATTCAAACAATGGTTTTGGCCTGTTTTATCGGAATAAAAATAGAGGACGAATTTAACCAGCCCACATGATAAAATACACGACACATTTCGTGAAATTCATCAATTCATCCATCACATTTTAAAAAGATCCCATGCATCAATGACCTAATTTTTGTGGCCATTCACCCCAATGGTGAATGTTTTGGGCATTCCCAACTGAATTGTCTTTCACGTCTTGTTTTCTAAGCCAGTTTACTAAGTCCAGTCGGATCGATTGGCGGATACGGCATGAAAATAGCTGTCTAGCTCGACATTGATTGGTTTATAATCAGGCCAATCGTGTCCTTGCATTCTCCCTCAGTGTATCCACCCGTTGCAAAGATAATTACGGACTGTTGGAATTCATTAATCACCATCAGTTGGCGAATGCTGATCTGA